ATCAGAATTGACGCAACTGACGCTGCACACAAAACGCGCTTGCCAATCGCTTCAGTAGTTGAGCAACTATATCACATTCTGCCTTGGAAAGATTTGAAGTCGGGTCCACCCCCCACCACAACCCTCTGACCTTATTGGTTTTATAGTTGTGCATTTTGCTGAGCTTTCCTCAAGCTTGTCTCTGTGTTTGGTCGACAGCCTGTGACCCGCTTGACTTCAAATGCAACGACGGGATTTGCATCTCTTCCGTGTTTCAATGTGACGGAATTCCGATGTGCCTTGGTGGGGAAGACGAGGCCGATTGCAGTAAGTGTGACTTCATGGAGCGTTGCAACCGATCGGAGAACCCTGAATTATTCCGCTGTTGTTTTGTCTCGGTTAAAGATTCAGAAGTGTTTAAGGTATCAGTGTTGGTAAAAATAAAATGGCGTGATTTCACGGATTGCCTGATCAATACATTGTCTGTTAATTAATTTACATTCATTGAAATTAAATCGCGGAGGGTCGGCCATTTTTGTCGACCGTAAACATGAAAAATGGACTCTCCATGGCAACGTCTTGGTCGCACAATGTTCTGTGAATCGCCCATATTCGTTAGACATTGTCGTTTTTCTCTTGTTTTACTCCTCATAAAGGTTGTCTGTCTAATCAGTTTACCTGCAACGACGGAACATGCATCCCCGGTAGCTTTAAATGCGACAAATGGATAGACTGCAACAAGGGAGAGGACGAGATCGGCTGCGGTAAGCTTTGCTTGAAATAAGGCTACGAGCACCTGCAGATTATCTTTTTGTTTTCCAAGCTGCATAAAGTCAACGATACACAGATATAAGATAACTCAAAAACTAAAAGTCTCTGCTCAGTTCATTCGGGTAGCTTCCCCGTGACCCGAAGGTCGAGTCATGACGATTAGGCCTAGGGGCGTCAGTGTAAAAGCAATTTTATAATCCAACGATGGAAAATCTTCTGCGAATGTGTAGAGACACCAAACATTGAATACCATTGCTTTTAAAATTAAAAAAGAAAATAAATTGGCAAATAGATAATACAGTGTTTTCAGTACAAAGTAACACTCGACACTCACCTAGGTGATAGTTCTTGTAACTGCAAATGAAGGTACTAATTTAACATAAGAAAGGTGTATATAGCAAACGCCGGTAGAAGCCCCACGAAGGATGACAATCACAGGAGATGGTGGGGAAATAATTCTCATCACCCACTTGTTATGGTAGAACCCGCTTGATACTATCTTCCTCCTGTTACGGTTCGTTAGAGAAAAACATCACATTTGGGAAAACAGCCGAATTTCCAACTAAAGAAAATTGACAAAATGAGTCTTTTGGACGCGTGAGCTCGATGCAAAATACACACGAGTTTCCTAAAGCTTGTCTCTGTGTGGCAGTCATGCTTTTATGTTTCGATATTTGGGTAAACCTGTCATGGAATATGCCAGAGAATCGATCAAATTTACAAATACCTTTAGAAAGGTCAATATATTAAAGGCCGATACAACCCGTAGATACAACGTTAGAGAAAATCGCATTTTCGGGTTACAGCTGGCCCAGTTTCCCACAAAGTCAAAATGTAGACAAACTGTTGGAGAAAAACTTATAGAAGTACATATTACATGACCATATCTCTTAGCTTGATGTATTGTCGCACCCCCATCCAGTCTCGTTTCCAAAATTTCTGCAGCCAGGAAATTTCAGGATATCGGTCATTCCCGGCATGATTGCCACCAAATCGCCGGTCAGAATTGACGCAACTGACGCTGCACACAAAACGCGCTTGCCAATCGCTTCAGTAGTTGAGCAACTATATCACATTCTGCCTTGGAAAGATTTGAAGTCGGGTCCACCCCCCACCACAACCCTCTGACCTTATTGGTTTTATAGTTGTGCATTTTGCTGAGCTTTCCTCAAGCTTGTCTCTGTGTTTGGTCGACAGCCTGTGACCCGCTTGACTTCAAATGCAACGACGGCATTTGCATCCTTCCCGAGATGGAATGTGACGGAAATCTGATGTGCCTTGGTGGGGAAGACGAGGCCGATTGCGGTAAGTGTGAATTCATGGAGCGTTGCAACCGATAGGAGAACCCTGAATTATTCCGCTGTTGTTTTGTCTGGGTTGAAGATTCAGGAGTGTTTAGGGTACCGGTGTTGGTAAGTATAAAATGGCGTGTTTTTTTTCTGAAGCACGGATTGCCTGATCAATACATTGTCTATTGATTAATTTACATTCATTGAAATTAAATCGCAGAGGGTCGGCCATTTTTGACGTTTCGTAAACATGAAAAATGGACTCTCCATGGCAACGTCTTGGTCGCACAATGTTCTGTGAATCGCCCATATTCGTTAGACATTGTCGTTTTTCCCTTGTTTTACTCCTCAAAAAAGGTTGTCTGTCTGATGAGTTTACCTGCAACGACGGAACATGCATCCCCGGTAGCTTTAAATGCGACACATGGACAGACTGCAGCGGGGGAGAGGACGAGATCGGCTGCGGTAAGCTTTGCTTGAAATAAGGCTACGAGCACCTGCAGCTTATCTTTTTGTTTTCCAAGCTGCAGGAAGTCAACGATAAACAGATATAAGATAACTCAAAAACTAAAAGTTTCTGCTCAGTTCATTCGGTAGCTACCCCGTGACCCGAAGGTCGAGTCATGACGATTAGGCCTAGGGGCGTCAGTGTAAAAGCAATTTTATAATCCAACGATGGAAAATCTTCTGCGAATGTGTAGAGACACCAAACATTGAATACCATTGCTTTTAAAATTAAAAAAGAAAATAAATTGGCAAATAAATTAGCAAATTAATTGCAACCGATCCGACTACCCACCGCTAGTAGGGCTCGTACACCAAATACGTCATGCTATGAGCAGGTTGGTATCATAGGATCGTAGCAGGACTATGTTTGCCACACTTGTGAGCCTGGCATGAGAAGCACCCCCACTTGCCACACCACAAAAAGTTACTGCTGCGGTGTACAAGGTAAAACTTGTCTAGTTTACAAGTGTGGCGAACTTAGTCCGTGCCACGATCCTACGATACCGACCTACTCATAGCATGGCGTATTTGGTGTGCAACTCTACTTATAAGTAGCGGCGGGTAGTCGGATCAGGTGCAAGCCTTACGTACGTTGTCCTCCCCTAAGTTTCGTGAATAACACGTTTGGCCCGTCTGTAACGTACAATGCTGCAATGCATTTATTCAATATACAACGGGCCAATGAAAACCTAAGTATCCCATAAATTGTATTACTGCCACAAAAGCTATACCACATCCAGGGGGGTCTGAGGGAACATATTCACCCCAGCATCTTTTTAGTTAAATATGTGAATAATATAGCGGTCTGACTGCGTTCTTTTTTTAAATACGCGTTTTCTATATGAAGTATTGGTCAGCGTCGAATTGGTTACTGTCATGCAGAGAGCAGCAGCTCAATATTCTTTGTCAGAGAGCAAATAGCAGTGACCCGAAGCAACGCATTTGAATACGGGCGATTAACATTGCCAAGAGGTCGCCTCGGAGAGGCTTTGTTTTCCAGTGCATTGTGGGAAACAGTCGACGGAGGATTTTTGCACCAACCCGCCCTGTGCGCGAAGAACTCGGAATTGTCCTCTGTTTTGTTTCGTTTGTTTGTTTGTTGGGGTGTTTGTTTGTTTATTTGTTTTTGTTTAGGTTGAAGATTTGGGAGTGTTTATTCTTCAAATTCGCGTCGGAATCCCCAAAATAGTTTTCATAATACAGGATGTACAAGAAAGTCCTGTTATACGCCCGAAAGGGCATGTGTATGCAAAATGGATTCTCGGACACTGGTTCCCTTTAGAATACAGCTGACTTTTTGAAACTCCCTCTCTTTACTTTCATTTAAATTAATTAAGCTGACTTACCCACTACTGCGTACCCTACTTCTTCGGCGTACCCGCCTTACATTGGGAATTGCCAAGCCGGTCAATTCCCGTGCGTTTTCAGTTTCAGCGACGATTGCATCACCTACTTCGACTTGTGCGACGGTGAGGCTGACTGCACTTTTGGCGAGGACGAGTTTCAATTTGTCTGCGTTAAGTCATGGGATCGTCAACGACTTTGGCTAAACTAAAAAAATGGAGGCGGCCTTAGTGATTTTATTTAAGGAACAGCTCAAATGATTTCCAAGCACCACGTTATATAATTTTAAACAACATCAGCGTTTGTTTAGATAGACAAATTGGCAATACAATGTAGCAGCAGCATTTTTTGGGTCAAAATCTTGCTGCAAATTTCTGTAAGTTTGCCTAGAAGTGGTCGGATGTCATAATTCCCTTTCATCAAAAGTTTTAGGCGGCACATCTACTCTTTCTGTTTGGTGTCCAACACAATACAGTAACTGTGCAGGTTTGGTGTTAATTACATAGATATCTTTGGCGGTTCGAAGAGAGCTACCAAGACAGGACGGAACAAAATGATGCAAAAGGTCAAGTCGAGGCCGTCGAAGAAGGCTCTGCGCAAGTGAAATCTTGACAGGTAAGCAACGTGGAGTGTCCTATCTCCTACCGTCACTGCTAACGTCTTTCTTGTTACGTCAAAGTCAAGGTTTTCGTCGAACTTCAGTTGGCTGATTCTTGGCACGCCCATAAGTTGAAACAAGCCCCCTCCAGATCTCACTTTTTCCTCCAAACGAAACATACTGAGGGCATTAAGTATGATTTCTTGCCTGGGCAGGCGTTAAGTCCTGCTTTGCACATTGCGAATGCCTGACAAATTTCCGCAAGAAGTTTGCAAAGAAAAGAGAGCTTATGCTTAGCCAAAACTTCATGGGTCGTGGAATTTCTGTTTTCATTAAGCGTGTAATTTTATCCAATGTGTTTGTTCAAGTTGAACAATTAACATTTTAAGGAACTTTTAGGTAATCTTCCCAGCTAAATGTGCACTGTGGAGCCTCTAGACGATTGAGAAGAGCTCACAACCTCACAACACCCAAGGAAACCTCAACACATTTTTCTTCAATCATGTGATTCATTTTAATCGTGCGTGTTTATTGAGAATACTTCTGCACAGTGACACGAAGACTCTCGGTTGCCGCGTGCCTTCACATTTCACAGAAAAAAGGAAATATTTCCTGCGGTAAATCTTTTTATAGGATTGCAGTCATAAAAAATAAAAAGTGAAATAAACACTAGAAGTAGCCGAAGGGGTCTGTCCCCCCATCAAACCGCGATACCTTCGCTGCCACATTTGAATACTTTGGAATGTAGATTCTTCATAAAACACAACACACAAGCAAGCGCTTATTCTTTTTCAGTTCCCTGATGTGCTCCTTATTTCCTCTGCTTTTCTGTCTTTTCTGCTCTTGTCGAAGGTAGCCCTGGACTGAGATGACAACATTGCTGGAACAGACAATCCGAATATCAAATTATTTCTGTCTTAGTTTTAACTTCTAGCAAGCAGTTAGCTATATCCATTTTTTTCCAGTTTGTGTGGGTAATTTTAAAAATGATTCTACAAGTTGTTGGAGACTCATTACTCAAAATGAAATGACCAGATGCCTTTTATACGCATCTTTACAAAGAACCCAAACGTCTGGATTGAATTATGTTTAAGGGCGATAACCATCTCACACCTGTTCCTTCGGAACAGAACAGAGAGGCTTCGCGTGGTAGCCTTTTAAGAGGCTAATTCTTGCTTTGCACAAGGAGATTTCTCTGTGCATACCCTGTGGAACAAAACAAGAATGGCCCGAAAGATGACATACATGAAAACTTTATTTACGCCACCCTTTTGGAGGGGGTTGAAACATTAGGTCAAGAGAGAATATTTCCCTCACGGGGACGAGGTGGATTCTATCCTCTGCCGTTACGGTTGGGTTATAGTGCATGGATATTATTACAGAACAACTTTACCATTAAGACCTAAAATCAGAGTTTAAGACCACCTAAATTAGAGTTTATGAATTTTTCTTCCTTTAATCAGCAGTAACAAATCACAATCATCATTCAGTTTGCCTTCTTTTAGTCCTGTTACTTCAGTTTCAAATAAGTGACTTCAAATTCTTAGAGATGTAGCTAATAAAAAACTAGTTAAAAGGAATGCTTAGTCTTGTTTAGAATTTTGTTCATTTATTGTGGATTGGTGCATTGCTCGATTCAGTATCTACAGTAGTCTGGTTCCCAGATGCAAGGGATCTTACCATCTCTTTCGATTCAGGGGTTAGGTGTCCCCCAAATGGGTACCTGACAAAAACGAGGAAATCTTCCCCCTTTCCCGAAAATATTCGAAATGTTCCGAATTCGTCGTCGTCCACATTCAGATAGTATCTTCCAGGTGCAATTTTGCGTAGGCCTGCTGGTCAGCGGATGTGCACGAGTAAAGCACTTTTAAGAAGGATACAGGCGTGGTCATTGTGGATGTATTAACGTCGGCCGCTCTCGTTGGCTCGTTTTCTTTGAAGAGATAAACACTGCACAATCAACGTGACCGACAAAGCCGAACATCGCACCCCATCGCCTGCACCTAAAAAAAGATTTCTTTCGGACAACCCAGCGGGGGGTGTTTATTGAATATTGTTCAGTTGTGTTTGTTTGTCTTAGGCTGAGTTCGGGCGGCTTGTTCTCGTATGTTAACGAACAGCGTGATTCGTTGTTCTTGGGTTGGCCGCTCGAAGGCCGGGAACATACACCCGGTTGTCGCTGATAGTCAGTGTCAAGCAGCATGCAATATGGCGACGTACATGTACCTTATTCGAGAGTTACTGTTTAGATAACTGGGCTGAATTCTTTTCTATTTAAACAGGAACAGTCTTGTCTGTGTTACGGAAAATGATCGATGTTAATTTTGTAAAACTTCCTGCTGTCTCTGGCTTTTTAAGCTACCAGTCTACTTTTTGCACCTGTTCAAAATATCGAAACGAGTTTTTCTTGTGTGTTCCCATAAAACCCTGACGAGGAGGTGGTGTGTGATCCTGTTCCGAGAACAGCGTTCTTGGGTCATGTTCCTGCTGTTCGAGCGCGAGAACAAGAAAATCGTGTCAAGAACAGGCCGCCCGAACTCGACCCCAGTGTCAACAGGTACTTCCTTGTGTATCTCGTGCCATTGTGTATCGTGAAAAGTACATCCTGAAACTGAAATACATGAAATGAACTAGCTCCTAACCCAGACGGGACTTCCCTGCTGACCCTTGACACGTTGCGTCATGGACTATATCTAATCGTGGGTGATATTGACCTAAGATTCTATCGAGAGTCGTCAGGAATCATCAGGTCATGGAATCAAACTAAATCTGCTGTGCAGTCTCCGCGGAAGCTGTCCAGACGCTTGGGGGCAGCACATACCCCCGTACACATAAATTACTACATTATAAGCTCGTTTTCTTGACTCGCTTATCAAATTTGGATCACTGACTAATATTGTTGAATTTTGTTTTTCAAACATGGCTTACTCTCCGAACAGGCCAACCAACACCTGGTAAAAGTCAGAGTACTAACGTAGCCAGTACAAAGACACAGAAATCTTTTCGATTTCACTGGGCCGTTGAGTTTGAGCCGCATTTTTACAGCAGTAAACTTGCAAATGCAAAAATGCCAAAATGATTATTAATTGGCCTTATTTCAATATTTTCCTTTGCAGTTTCCATAATTCTTGAAGCCATTCTCAGGCCTCTGAATTGCCTACGCTGTGTTTCTAACAGGTTTGGCTATTCAATTAATCACGTACACGTAGAAATACAACATGGTCACTGCAAGGCACAATATACTCATCCACTTTGTTGATTTGATCTAGTAGTAAAGCAACATATGCGATTTTCAATCACTCCGGGGATTCCTTGCCTACAAACTGACGACATACTATCTGATCAGTGCTGCTCAAAGTGTAATTACAAGCGGCAATGCATCCGACAGAAACGGGAATCGAAGGGAAAGTGCAACGTGGCTTTGTCTCAAGAAATATATCGCTGTGAAATTGTCAATCCTGGAAACAAAATTTGTTAGAGTCTCACCCGCTGATCGTTTAGAAATTTTTTTAGCTTAATTGCCTTTTGTTAACCTGTGGGCGCATACATTTCTGGGTTCACGTTTAAACACGTTTAACTTAAGACATTTCAAAAGGAAATGTGTTGAGGATTGTGTTTAAATACTTTTCCATGGTACACGTTGAGCTCTGAGAAATCTGCTTAGCCTTTAAACTTATGCCTAATCGCATGCCAGTGTAAACATCAGTAAACATTTCGTGGGTGGAACGCGTCAAAAAAGTGAGCGAGGGTTTAAAAACGCCGTATTTGTATACACATCGTAATAGTGATTGGTGATTCCTAACTCGGATACTATTCTGAAAGGTGTGAGTTCACTGTTTCCACTGATCCTGACTTCTGTTTTGAGGGTTTAGTCGGTGGCTTTTCTGAGCTTGACTGCACGCTGCGCTGAGCCATAACAGAAGAGAAGATTGTGTAAAGGTAAGGGTTGAGCGAGGAGTTGATGGGCAGAACGAGCACCACGATCCAGGAGAAGACCTCAGCACCAACATGCACCGCCCCGGTCTGGGACAGGATGCCAAGGAGGATCACCGGCATCCAGCAGACAAAATCCGTGCCCACGATCAACGCCATCTTGACGGCCATCCTGATCTCGCGGTCCCGGTGCGAGTTCCTCTTGACTTTGCGCACCGACCGCTTGACCTTGAAGAAGATGGCGACATAACAGACAAGGACGACCAGGAAGCAGGTGAGGTTGACTCCGAGGAACAGGACGATAGACAAGATCCAGGCGGGCTTCCGGCCGGTCGATGAGACGATCTGCAAGGCTTCGTCGTCCCCGAAGGGGTTGTCGATGTCGCTTGGTTCCAGCCGGACCCCGGCGGCCTTTGTGGTGAGGGGCAGCCCGATGCAAACGTCGGACAGACCGTAGACGTCGGAGTTCGAGTCTACCACCAGGGTCGGCACTACGCTCAGGCAGAGGGTCACCACCCAAGCCACCAAGGCGACCACGCGGGCAGACTCCTCGCGGATCCGGAACTTGCTGAAAGGGAACACGACGCAGAGGAGACAGTTCAGGCTGATCAGGGTGACGAAGAACACCGAGGCCTCGCTGGAGAGAACCGACAGGATGCCGGCAATCTTACACCCTACGCTGGCCCGCCACCCAGCCGCGAGTTTGGAGTAACTCTCCCCGAAGTGGATGTCGGCGGCCGCGATGATCAGCATGTACACCCCCATGATGAAGTCCGAGACCGCTAGGTTGACTACCAGGAACGAGTGGGTCTTCTTGGCGGAGTTCCCCTCGCAATGCCGAAGCCTCCAGACGATCACCGCAAGATTACCGAAGACAGCACTTATCGCCAGGACCCACATGCACGCGCGCAGGCCGTCGTTCTGCATGAGGGACCCGCAGAGGTTGAGGGGGGGTTGCGCCTGCGTGGTCTGGCAGCTGCTAATCTCAAAGTCCCGTATATCTCGCAGAAAGTCGCAACAAAGTCTGTAGTCATCAACAACACTGGAACAGATAAGTTTTTAAAATGAATCTATGATTGGGAATCATAATTGAAATACATGTACACAGATCATACCAAGGACATCACCTGCACATAATTTTGATTGTAGGAAAACTGAGGAAAATTACAATTTTGCAGACGCAGGGAGGGAGGCAAATGCTCCTGGTTTCACGTCGAAAGGGACATCTTCGACAGTATCTCGAACCAGCACTCTGCAGAAATCAAAAGAATGTACAGACACCAGAGGAAACGGTATTCTAACGTCAGTGTTCACTCTACACCTTACCAACATTAATGGCCAGAGAGAGCATTAACAAACCACTTACAATGTTTTGAGTTTGACGAGTCCGGCGAACGCATTCTCCGCTATAGAACGCAGTGCTGGGACATCCGTGATAATCCTGTGGAAAATAGGTGAGAAGAGACACTGCTCAAGGCAAAAGCAGTTCACGGAGACACCAGATACAATTTATTATGTCTTCACACTTTGAGGAAAGATATGAGCTGAATTTTATGGTCGATATGCCTCCCCCGAGCACATCCGCAAAGCGCAAATGAACAGGAAACACGCAATAAGATTTACTCACAGAGCTTCCAAGCTGTGGAGTTCCGCGAATGTTTCCGATTCTATCTCGGTCAACTCATTCCCAGAGATGTTCCTGTCAAGGCCGTAAAGTAATGGACACGCTCAGTTCAGGCAAACATAACGAGTACATCCACATATCAGCAATACCGAAAAGAGAGCTTTTTCGAAACGAGTGGATTCGGCTAAGACTTTGGTTTCGCTGGTACCACTCAGAGCTTGAATACGTGATTTTGAACGCTGCTTAGCAATGGCTTGAACCAGCGAAACCAAAGTCTAAGCGGAATCCACTCGTTTCGAAACCGCTCTGAGTGGTACTTACAGATAAGAAAGATTTCCCAAGCCGTAAAAAGTTCCCGGTGGAATAAAGTACAGCATATTATACGGCAGAGAGCTGGAAAAATAATCATTAATCACTGTTATAATTCTGAACGCCATAACTAAGTGAGCAAACAGGAAACAAGAAAAGGGTTGCAGCAATTTTTGTTTGGAGCATTTTCGTCACTTGTTTTTCAGTTAGCTAGCTCTGAATATGGGCGATTCACAATAGTGCACCACTACCGAGAGTTTGCAACACGTTGGCCAATCATAACGTGAGAAATGTGTCGACCCTTTCCAAACGCGCGTTGGGTCGACAGATTTCGCGCACTGAGATTGGCCAACGTGTTACAAACTCTTGAAACCAAAGATTTTTTTAAGTTGGTCAATGGTGCACCACTTTGTAAAGAGGAAAACCAAAGAAAATCATCACGAGTTTTGTATTAGGGGCTGCAGCTTAACACTTACAGAGAATTGAGACATTTGAGCTCTTTGAACAACCCCGGTACCAACTGTATGGAACTCTGATTCGTTGCACCAGTGAGCTGGCTGTAAAAAATAAATAAATAGAAAATACATCCGTGTGTTGTAGAAACTTGGCTAACAGAATACGGGCCATTCACGATAAAGTGCGCCACCAAGAGTTTCAAGTTTACAGTCGATGCGCTGCCGCGATTGAGTGCTCTTTGGGATATTTGATTACTTGAGTTGTTCTCTACACTACTATACACAAAACCATCATTTAACCTCCTTGAACCCAATAAGTACTTTCAAATTTTCAACCAAGATAAACAAACAAAAATTGAAACTTTCCGCGCACAGGCGCAATAAACGAAATATGACTTTGATGACTATATATCCCACAATGCATTACGAAAAAGCCTCTCTGTGACAACCTCTTGGTGGCGCACTGCATTGTGAATGGCCCGTATTAAAGGAGATTTCAGCGGCAGAGTGCCTCTGATCATCCAACTCTTGCGAACGTTACAGGCCAATTGAGTTTTTTGTTTTGATCTTTCAACAAATTGGGCAACCTGTCGAGAATGGGTTATATATGGGAGTAAAATGAAGGGTTAATTGTTCTGTTTGGTAACAAGATTCTGGTATTTCTAAAATAAGCTATTTGTAAAATATTGCTTTTGTTGGAGATTGCTACTTTAAAAGACTTCTTGACTGTTGTCGTGTCTTTGTTGTAAACATAGCAGACATTAATTTTGCTCTAAAGGTATAGATCTGTTAGGCCTAATTTGCATTGCATTATGAATATTTTTTTTTTGTCTTGGTAACATTTTTAACCTTAGACTTGGAACTATCCTTATATAGAAAGGAACGTACACTTTTCTTGCATTAAATAATTACGATAATGAACTGCCCTTAATTTCTTAAGTCCTTATCTGTAGTATTGCAGATGTTTGCTAGGTTTTGTTTAAATCTGCATTCGTCATCGTTTATTCCACTGAGGGTGTAACTGTTTTTCCTCAACAATACGGACTTTTCACAATAGTGCGCCACCAAGAGTTTGCAATGCAAAATCTGTCGACCAAATGCGCCTTTGGAAAGGGTCGACAGATTTCGCGCGTTGTGATTGGCCAACACGTCGCAAACTCTTAGTGGCGCACTATTTCGAATCGCCCTTATTTAATTTGTCTCTTTCCAAATGATGCAAGGAGAAAGAAAAGGAGCATAGGGGCGCCAGGCGCAGTCATGACGAGCCCAGGCAGCAGAGGCTTGAAGTGATGCAGTACTTACAGTGCGGCAGTGATCCGTGCAATGTCTTTCACGTGATCGGATTCCCAGCCTTTGGTGCACAGAACGTGGAAATCATCATTGATGTACTCACAGGAACAGTTTTCGGGACAGCGTTTCTCGTCTGGAGCATATCGACAAAGTGAACATGTAATACGGGCGATTCACAATAGTACGCCTCCAAGAGTTCAGAACACGTTGACTAATCACAGTGAGCGAAATCCGTCGACCTTTTCAAAACGCACATTAAGTCGACAGGTATCGCACACTTTGAATGGTCAACGCGTTGCAGACCCTTGGAGGCGCACTACTATGAAGCGTCCATATTACAATAAATCCTGAATCCATTTGCCAGCATGTCTTTATACCACACATTACTTGTCGTATTTATTTTTACTGAATAATCGTCAGATAACCTTGGAAGTGAAAGTTTGAAATCGACGGAATTTCTCGAATTATATTAATATTCATTGAATTTTTGGTACCTAATGTATCATTAATTAATTAATTCGTTTAAGATCCACTTGTGTCACGTGTATCATCATACAAGGTGTTCTATGTCCTCAGGACCATTTCTTTCCGTGCGAGGACGCTGGTCATCCAGACATCATCGATCGCAACGGGCATATATTTCTGCACAACTATGGCGTACGGCATCAGTGGGGTTCGCAAGACGATATCTCTCTCAATTTTTACCTTGATTGTCTTTCTAAGAAGTCACATTGTGAGGACAGCATACTGAGGACATCAGATTAACTTTCCCTTACCGCATTTGACCTCATCATCGCCTTGCTCACAGTCAATCGTGCCGTCGCAAACAGATTGCGGAAGAATGCAGGTCCGTGTGCCACTGCAGAGGTAGGATGACGGACAGTAAACTTCATCTGAAGTAAGAAAGAAGCCGTTAAATAATTAAGAAATAAAATACCTTGTTGTAGACACCCTGGAAAGAGGTTGGAGATGATGTCCTCAGAAGGTATGTAAAAGTGAAATTGCTCAACTGGGCCTGACACATTGCACTATGTGGCACTTACACAATATTATTTGCTATCGCCACCTCTTTGTCAATTACACGTTACCGCAAAAACTTTCGTCTTCTCCTTTCAGGCAATCCTGGAAGCCGTCACATTCAGCCGAAGCCGCAAGGCAAGCTCCGTCCTCACAAAGGAATTCCGTTTGGTTGTTGGTGCACCAGTCTAGGCAACACAGACAGCAATGTTAATCTTTCTGATCATTTTTTTCACCACAGACTAATAAAAGGAACAAACGACCTACGCATAAACGCTTAACAAAACATTGGCGTTTTTTAACACCCTCAATTTCAAAAGGACATGGACAACGACAAACACCGGAGTTTTTCAGTTTTTATTGGTACGTGAAAAATCTCACAGAAACTTGCCCGTGTGTTAGTTTCGAAAAGTTACAGTGTTGCAATCCGCTGGAGCAGAGTTCCCCCTTATCGGTTCAAAAGAGCCATGCTTGTTCGGAATGTTCGTTTTGTTGGTAAGGACGCGCAGGAAGTGCAAGTACAGTCGTTCGTGAACCAGCGAAATGAAGTTCCTGCCAAAGGAAGCTCCGTTGCTAGGAAAATCGCGCCCCCTTGGTCCAGCTGGGAGCCCACGTTATTAGTGAGTACCAAATAGGGCCTACAGCAGCGAATCCGTAACCAAAGTAAAATATATCATTACCTGTTGATCCGTTAAAGTCGACATTGCTGAAGCGGATGTGGTAACCAGTGAGTTGGATGTTTGAGTCCGTCTGGAAGCGGACAGTCACCTCCACCGACGAGTTGAAGAGGATGGAGTGGATCTTCGTGGTCCCCGCCAGGGCGAAGGTAAGCTCTTCGCCGTGAAAGTTCAGCCCGGTCAGCCGGGCCACGTCCTCGCCGACCTCGGTTGAGAACGCCAGGACCTGGACCACCGTGCCTGGGCCCGTGCCGCGGTGGGCTGCACTGCCCACATGCAGTAGAGGCCAGCCGGGTAGGGCTTCGGGTAGTTGGGCGACTTCACGTGGACCTCATCGCCCAGGAAAGTTACGGCGTCGGAGTCGCAATCCACTAAGGAAGTCGAACGAGAAAAATAACTTCAATTTTCCCTGGGTCCAAGCCCCCATCACCTTGAACTGCTTGCAAGAACAAAGTTGCCAATTTAAAGTCCATCGACAAACTTACGAGGAACCTTTCTGGGAATATCAAAAAGCAGTTAAAGCTCTGGAAAATTCCAAATAAGTAATCATCTGTGGACATACAACATTTTTGTTTTGGGGAACGGAGTTGGAATGGAGTTAGGAATGGATCTAGTGATGTAACCATCAGGGAAAATGGGGTCAAAAGCAAATATGTCACAGTTGCCACACCGGAAGGAACAACGCCACTTTCGGTAATTTCCAAAAGGTGGAAAAGGTGAACCACATTTCGAGGAAAACGATCCCCCCAAACCCAAAACCTTTTCACAGGTATGTCAATGGCAGTACCCTATTATGTGTAAATACCTGCAATCGTGGATGTTCCGTGTTGTTATCCTATTGTTAGGACAAGCATTCTTCGGAAAAAATTCCCAAGTCACGGTGATTACCCAATCAGAAATCTTTTTCCCCTTTTGAAACAAGCTGGAACACTTGCACTTGTTACTCACAGTCTGGGCACACTTCCCCAGCCTTCTCACCGACACAAATAAAGTCTTTGTAGTCACAGGCCGTCTCCCCTGTTTTACAAGAAACTGCCCGGGGAAAAAACGTTTGGAGAATTGTTAAAGAGGACGAAACTAACCGAGGTTAACCAGTTTTCCGTAAATTTCAAATCCGCCAAAATTTCAACTGGGGAAAGCTACCACAAGGCAAGAAGACTAGTCTCCTCTCAAGAACAATTTTCTTATAGGAAAGTACATCATGTATCCCCATACAGTTGCTCCAGGCTGTACGGTGAGGGAGGTATAAAAACCTGAAATTGGGTCTCCCCTTCGGTGGCACCCGATCCGACCACCCACTGCTATACTTATAAGTAGAGCTTGCACACAAAATATGTCATGCTATAAGCAGGTTGGTATCATAGGATCGTAGCATGGACTACGTTCAGCACACTTGTAAGTATGGCATGAAAAGCGCCCCCACTTGCCACACAACAGAGAGCCACTGCTGCGGTACACAAGCTAAGGCCGTGTCCGAAACGGGCTTCCAGAGCTACGGCTAGGTCTATTGTCTGCAGATTCTCCAGCATTTCCAATGGAGCGAAGACCTAGACCTAGCTCTAGACAAGAGATTCGGATGCAGCTTAAGCTAAAACTGGTAGCTTACAAAGGTGCCGAACGTAGTCCATGCTACGATCCTTTTAAACCAACCTGCTTATAGCATGGCATATTTGGTGTGCAAGCCCTAGCAGTGGGTAATCGAATTGGGTGCCGGTGTTGCAACTGAAGTTCATAAGCATTCTGAACAGCACCAGTTAACTCAACGTGGAAACGTGGAATCCAGGGGCTCACTGAGAGCTTTATCGCAAACGTTCGTTGCACTAATATTCGCTGGGTCCCTCGCTGTGTCTTGGTTTCAAAACTAAAACAAGAGGGAAACCAGACTTTACCTTGGTCTTGGGGGAGCTGTTCAGCTCGGAGCTCAAACCCTTGATGTGTGAAGAGCGCGTCCGACGAGAACAGCATATACATCGTGTGATACTTCGAAGCCACCCTCGAGGGGGACATGTTGCTGTGAGAGAGAAAACTCGTGGTCAATAATTGAGTGACCATTCAGACATACAAAACAGTCTGTGCTTATAATAATAGATTTTCTCAGTGCCTGATATCTTGCGGCCGTGTAAAGTATTTCATTAACCCTAGAAGATTACTTCTTTCAATTATTTCATTCTTTTGAAGCAAGGGATATTTTACCCATTCGATATCGTCTTTTAAGTGGCAAAGTTGGTTGAAATACAAGAAGACGTTACAGACTTTAAAAAAAATTAAAGTCATTGGACAGAGAGTTTGCAATACATGTATTTGCTGACATATCTTAAAAAGGCACAATACTGTCACGGTGCCAACTGCACTCGATTTTCTGAAGAAAACCGAAAACTCACCCACTGTGCTCAAGAATAACGTCACCCGTCGGGTCGAGGCCATTGCCCATGAGCAACTTGTCGTAGCCCAGCTCTGTATCAAAGGTCAGGAAAGTTATCATGACCCGGAGGCCCAGCTCAGCTTGGAGCAGATACGTGCACTGGACGCCGTCCGGGTAATAGTTGGGCCAGGCCGGGGAGGTTAGAGTGACCGGCGAGGTGTCCGTAAGATTGAAGAAGGTGTCTCCACAAGGCCCTGCGTCGTTATAAGGTACCAAGTGTTAGCAAAGACTGTTGGTTTAATGACTTGTGGTATGCTCTGGGCCCCCAGCGGGACCAAGAGGGCGCAATTTTCCAAACAACGGGGGCTGCTTTGGTGGGAACTACACTTCACTGGCTCACGAACGACTGTGAAATGCATGCATTGTAGTCACGTCACTGCCAGCCAAATGAACCCTTCCCACTAACATGGTGAAAGCTTTTCAACCGTTGAGGAGGTACTCCTGCTTAAAGGCAAATATGCTCCTTAAGGCGAAAATGATCCTTAGACTGCGGTCTTTGCTTCCTAATATATACACGTTGTAGTAAGTGGTGCCATATCAGCAACTAGTAAAGCGACTGAAAACTGTCATGTACATTGGCCCCGAGTGGTCGACTAGGTATAGCGAACTACCATGGGTATGATCTCACGTACCGCAACCATTTTCATCCGTTCCATCCTCACAGTCTAGACGCCCATTGCAGATGGAGTTGAGGGGTAGGCACTCTCCTCCGACAGGGCAAGAAAACTCACCTTCGCCACAGGCACCTGTCAAAATGGTTCATTATAGCAAACAGCGTGACTTTCCGGTTCATGGCTAGCGAAAGACAGACAAAAAGACCCGCCAACACGAGACAAGACCAAATGCCTTCACCAGGGCGCAGATCTGGGGGTGGAATCATCCCCCCCCCGCTCTGATAAAAGCAAGATAAAACCAGTAGAAGAGTGATGTAGCTGTTACAGTAATAACACAAAGATGATGACATCCTGTAAGGGTTATTATTTGTACGCGGTGAGCGTTTACTGGGGACTGGTTTAGGTGCATCAAGGTAGGTACAGCAGTAATAATTCCATGCACTTTCTTACGTCTTCACCTGCTCTAAATACAAAACCGTGCGTGGAAACAGGATTCAACGAGCCTGACGCCTCCAAAAGGATTCCTAGCTTCATCCATGTTACTGGAAAACAGCCATGACTGACTAACATTCAAAATATACAACGCACTCAACTGAGCCATCGAATGACTCCATGCTGACTAACCTCCAAATTTTACCAACACACTCAAATGAGCTGTCGAACAACTCGACACCAACTAACCTTCAAACGAAACCAACGCACTCAACTTATCTGTACGGCAACTTGACACCCGAGTGACACACCTAACGGTTAGCTTTGATATTTTATTCAATACGGCAGACACTGGAAAAATCACACACCTCCAAATAAAGGGATATAACTGCCTCTCTTGCGTACGTTGGGTTTTAAAGGCAGGAGAATTCTTACCGCATCCAACTTCATCTTCGTGTTCTGGGCAGTCGATTCGTCCGTCACAGCGGGCTGACAGCTCTACGCAAGTTGCTCCTGACTTGCACGCCCAAGACCCGATCGGACAATCTGTCTCGGGGGATAAATAACATGAACCAATTTTTTGGGGGGAGGGAGGGGTGGAGGATTCGACATCAAACGTGCCCAAAATATCTGCTTGACGTGAACTGGAAAAAACAAGGCCACTTAATGAAGAAACAGTTTGTCTTATCAAATGTTTCCTTGATCTAGTAACGATTTACTAGAACATCGCTATTAAGCTATCACTACCGTCTATAGTGGTGATAAAAAGAGTGGGTTATCTGGCATTCTTACCAAGGATTTTCATCTGACTTTACCCACCTTTTTCCAGAAATGCCTCGAACTGTAGCCAAAAGCCCATGTTGATTAATGGGTAGTAGCAGTCTTCGACCAGTACCCATAATCTGGGGCCACTCGACGTCACCGTGTGCGGATAAGTCCAGTTGCTGGTGGACGGACTGACCGTCCGGAACCCGTCGGTGGAGTTGACGTACCTGCTGTAGGGACCCTCCCCGAAGATCAAAGTGCAGCTGGTTGGGTACATTACTGTGACCCGGATCCGAGTTTCGGCCGGGGACACCACCTCCCAGGCGCTGTCGTCGTGGATCCCCCGGCGGTCGAGGGAGTAAGCACTCGCGTTGTGCGTCAAATTAACGCGAGAATCTGCGTCGGAGTCTGTATGGAGAGAGTATTAGCAACACACCAGTGTTGCTTCGAGTTCACCACAAGTCTCTAGATGTCCCTTTAAGTTCATCACAAGTCCATCACAAGTCATTCAGTCCTAGGCCAATTCACAAGTATTCAAATAAGCGGTGACAGAAGCATTCCTTTGTCACTGTTCACCCTGTTACTTGTGACTGGTCTTGTGAAGGGACTTGTGACTGGACTTGTGAAGGGACTCGAACACTACTTCAATACACGAATGACTTTACCCGTTTCAACTAATAGAATTAAGTTTATGTTCACGGTTATATAAAAAAGCGATGTGCTGGTGAACTCAAGACGAGAACTTCATTTTGGAAATCTAATCAGGAGAAGACTTACAACATCCGTACTCGTCGTTGAAAGCACCGCAGTCGTTTAAACCGTCGCAAATATACCTTTGCAGGACACACTCCCCGCCAGGAATGCATTCAAATTGGTTGACTGCGCACTGACCTTCAAGGGAAAAATGACATGCATTAGCTGATGATCAAAATTCCCAAAAGACGTCCAAGGCTAATTCACCCTGTCAAAAACTATCTAACCTAACCCTCACCCCCGAGGATGTACGCGAAATCAGATGATTCAGGATATTTATGGTTAAAGATTGAGAACCGTTTTCTGTGTGTTTGTTTTACAGATCTGAAGTATAAAGGGAGTGTTTCTCCTTCTCTATTGGACATTAGACTTCAAGACTGCAAGGACATTTTGATCAAAATGCTGTACAGGTGTGAAGTTTGAGACATTCGGGTACTGTATGTGCGGCACGTTTCACTTCATAATACAAAGCGTGTGGTACAGTTCACTGCCGGAGGAATATGGAAGTTTCACAGTAGCGCGCCTCCAAGAGTTTGCAACTCGTTGGCCAATCACAACACGCGAAATCTGTCGACCCAATGTGTCTCTCGACAGTTTTTGCCGGACTATATCCTGTGGCATTGTTTTCAAAATGTGAATAGTATAAACCCGACACAAGGAAACTGAAATCCTTACCGCATCCCAGTTCGTCTTCGTGTTGAAGGCAGTTACTGATGCCGTCACAGCGGTAAGCGATATCGATGCAAGCCAAAGTAGACAGACATTGGAAATGCCCATCACCACAGTCTAAGGGGACACAAAAAAGGTACGCTTTCTGTGTAAAGATCATGACCCGCTTTAGGTGAAGGAAACGCTTTTTTGGCAAGATATACACTCTAAAAACTCCTGGGTCACACTGACCCAGAATCTGGGTCCCATGGGGCCTGATCGTTTCCCGGGTCAAATTATGACCTGTTGTGGGTCAGATTTGAAAAGAGCCATCTTGTACTTTCCAACGATTAATTATCAGTTCTCCGTTGTCTACTCATTGGAGAACTACACAGGCATATATGTCCAATATAGTTTAACTTTATATCGGTCAAATAAGCCAAAGAGACTTTGTTTGTTTAGTTGGATCTTTCACGCTGCGTCGACTAGAGCCAGGATGACAATAAACAAAATGGTGAAAAGGTGACTTTGTGACGTGGGTGTTTCTTTTGATGAAAACACAGACAAACGTGTCGACGGGGACGACCTGGAAAGTTGTGATTACCTGACCGTGTGCTTGTCAGGAACCTGCTGTCCACGACACAGTGATCATGGCTATGACACGTGGTGACGATGGAATTGGTGACACCATTGATAATGACAGGTGTTTTTTTTAATGAATTGGTTACTGACATTCATTGCAGAAGTGCTATCCATACCATTAATCATGTGAGCTGTGAGTACAACCTCCATTTGCTCCAGGAAGTCCACACCCTCGTTTATGAGTTGAACCCAGAGGCTGGAGCCGTTGAAATAGAGCTTGGCGGGCACAGCAGTCTCGTGGCGAACTACCAGGAGCGATGCGGCCGTCGGTAGCGCCGCCTCCCCGTCGTCGAACTTTAGACTCAGTCCCTGGCCGTTGTGGGAAAAGGTCCTCACCACAGCCTCCAGACGTGTCCCGGCCGGAGCCGTGACCCTCCACAAGCAGTCGAATCGGGCTGGTAACTCAGCCCGACCGACTGCCTCAGCAGCAGGCAGGTGCTGCGTCGGCAACGGGTCGGACCGATTGCCGCGGTGAACCTCAAAAGCACCCTGTCCCGATTCACTGTCGAATTCGGCCACAAGAAAGACGGCATAATCGGCATACAGCTCTATGCTAAATCCACCGCAGGTATCTAACAGGAGAAAAGCAAATAACGGCTAACCTTTCACTGAGCTCCGATACCAGGCAGATCATCTCCGCTGTGGAACAGAGTTTGGTACTATGCAAGGTGGGATGAGGATCTAAAATTGGAATAAGTGTTCTCTTCTGTAGTTGCTCTCATACAACTGGCCAACCAATATCGAGCTACGCCAGCGAGTGTCCACGACATGCACTGACAAAACTAAACACTTGAAATCCCACATACCATAAAACGTGAATAAACGAGCTCAAAATTACCACAGCTCATCTCGTCCGAAAAGTCTAGCCAACTGGCTTTCCCGTCACAAAGCGCTTGCAGGGAGAGGCAGGCATTGTGCTCTGTCAGTAAGATCTGATTAATGCCACAGACACCTGTCAGTGTAAAAACAGAAAGGTGTTGTTCGGCCATCGGTAACCACAAAATTGACACTGGGGAACATTTCAACTGCATAGATTGTAAGTAGTTTCTTCGTAATGATATCTTATGTAAGCACACCGAGGCCTGCACTAAAAAGTGGTTGCTTAATTCGGCTATGTTAAATAACCTGTTTTTTTTTAATCGTTTTGAGTCTTTAATTTCAACACTTTTCAACATTTTGAATTATTAAGCTTTTAATATCGTTCACTGGTTTTCTTCCTTCAATACTTATTTCCAACAGAGGGTTTGGATGGCTGCCATCTTGCAGGCCAGTGCTTTTTGTTCCACAGGGTATGCACGGAGGAGGCTTTCCTATGGGAACTAAAGAACTGTTCTCCAAGATGGCCACTACGAAAAACCTCTATTATTATACCTGATGTCTCATGAACTCTGATGTTCAACTCCAGGCTTGCTGCTCGACTGGTATCCCTGACCGTCATGGATCTAATCATGGCCTCATTCCCTCGGGTGAAGAAGGATGTGCCGGCAAGATTTGCGTAACTCTCCAGCCACGGGGCGTCAGTCAGCGAGTCATCCTCCACGCTGAGGTAGTGAAGGTCCTCCTGGTCCACCGCGATGACGTTCACGTAGATGACAGTCCCGGGATCACTGGCAACTAACCAGCCGCAGAAGTAGTGGTAGAACGCAGGGACGGTGAGACGGACCGTGACCTCAGCCTCGCTCGTTAAGTTGATGAAACTAGGTCCGCAAACAGAGACTGCAATATTCGAGAAGATCTCTTAGAGTCTTGTGAAGAGTCTCTAAGAACGCGGGCATTCCAGTGTTGTAACTTTGTGCATAAAGCAGACCAGGGGTGCGACCGGAAATTTAACTAGGGGAAAGGCAGGCAAAGCAGGGAAAGACGGGGCCCAGGGCAAGGGCGAGGCGCGGTATGGAACGCCACGGCCCGGTAAGGTGTCAAATGGTGCTGCTCATGTTTAAAGGCAGAGGCAAGGCTAAAATTCTGGGGAAAATCCTTGGGATTGGAAATCCATTTCACGGGTCTTCCTTGGCCGGATTCGATCCCCGAATAGAGCCCCCTGTGCAGCAAAATAGCCTGCAAGAACTTTGACCTTAACATATTGTCGCATAATGCAATACAGTGGCACACTGATAAGTGAGGCTAGTCGGCGTCACGAAAGTTTGCATGCAGAAGGCCACGGTCTTGCATCACACGATAATATATTAGCATCTCAATTAGAGCATGGCTATTTAGCTGCACAGGCCTCGCTTATAAGTAGCGATGAGTAGCCGGATCGGGTGAAAAGAGATGTGGAAGGTGAAGGAAATGACCGCTGCTTAAATTGGAAGGTGTCTTGTAATGACCACTCTTCGGAAAAAGAGAAGGGATACCTACAGCAATCGAATTCGTCCATGGTGTTGCTGCACTGGGCCACGTTGAAATCACAGATGTCTCTATGCTCGACGCATTCACCATACCCGCAGTGGTATTTTGAGGACGGGCATTCACCTAATAGGAAAGAGAAAAAATAAAGCGAAGCAGGTGGAAGCAGTGGGTCAACCCCGTTTGAAAAGCCATGGAATCTTTGAAGATCCATGCAAGACTTTGCCGAGAAATTCCGCCGAGGCCATTTGGAGGTCGGGTTCCCTAACACGATTTAGAGGGACGTATAAAGCGTAACACAGTGATTCCTCCCTCCAGAAGTCTGTTCACAGCGTTCACTTGAAGTCCAGTCTGATGATGTGCAGTATGAGTCCCAAGCTGGACCAACAGAGGGCGCAATTTTCCTAACGACGGATGTTCCATTTTGGTGATTCTAAAATGACTATATGAACTGCACGCTTTACGGTGGCGTCGCTTTAACGCTCTCCAACTGGCTCTTATCAAATGATGAGGGGATGCTTCTACTCATGATCGATTGTTGGCGAATTTGAATGAACTGGCGGCTTACATGAACTTTCCAAAGGGGGGTGATAACGCAGTGCTCAACAACGTCACCTTTAAAATCCCTTCACAATGATAAAAGTAGTTGATTGTGGCATCCACAGGGAAGGAACTTACCGCATCCAAGCTCATCCGAAAAGTCGTCACAGTCCCTGAGGAAATTGCACCTCGCGGCGAGGGGCACGCACTGTAGTCCATGTGAACAAGGAAACTCGTCCTCCCTGCATTCAACTGTCCAAGAAAGAAACAACACAACTGATCAACAACCCAATTCGACTAAACCAGCTCCAATGACTTCCCTTGAAGGTGGGGCACTGTATTTATGGTTGGTAAGCACCCAGACGCTCCCAGCTTGTAGCTTCGCGATATCTCCTTTGGCAATATGCTAAGGGAACTCAACCGCTCCAAACACTGAAAAAACATCTGTATGAAAATGTTTTGGAGTACAAGAGGATTGTGAAATCCCCTTCTTGCAGTCAGTGGTCTTTGTTGAAATTTTTTTTCGTGGATATTATAGCTTAAGCCCAATACAGGCTCATTGGAATCTACTCAGCCCCGTGGTATCTTCCCTTGGCAGTTATGAAGCATTTAAGATAATAATTGCAACTAATCTTTTGTTTGACAACTTTTTTTTTTTTGTAGCCGTTAAAATGGCACATGCGTACACGTAGTTGTAATGCCCATCACTTTCACTATGGTAAATTTCCGGGAATACATCAACACGCATTGTGGAGAGTTAAGACTTTTCACGACTAAGAATATAGATAAGTGCACTGTGTGATGTATCGTGTATGTTCGATTTCCATAGATTTGATTGAATGGAGGTGCTTTCATACTTGTCAGTGGCCTTGTCCGGTAGCCTCGGGTTCCAGACGCTTACCCGTGTGGTTGACTTCCGTCAGCTCGAAGACGAAGTTATTGACCTTGTTGTCGCCTCGGCTCCCCCAGATCGTAAACTTCACCCAGGCCTTGTCGGCCGTGGCGACCAGCGACCCGGCGGGGAAGACACCCTTGTCCTTCCGAACGATTTCGGTGCCCAACAGGCTCATGGGGTCGTGGCCGGTGCCGATGGCCAGTTTGCTGAGCGACTCCGTCACGTACTCCAGGGCCCGGATCAGGATCCGGTGACCCGGGTCGGAGGCCTGCAGCAGCCAGACGCACGTGGCGGCGTTAGTGTTGGGCACAATGACAGGGGCGCGGAGATAGAGTGGCGCCTTGGGGCGGAGATGAAACATCGAAAGCCCACAAAAACCTATTTCAAAATCACAAAACGGGAATCTCGAGTGACTTATGTAACAACTGATGAATTTGAAAGGCTCGCAGAGTTATAGATTATTTCTAGAAGTCTAAAAGGCAACCTGTCCGCGATCACTTTGGATGACCGTGCGATACAGCAATTGATGTTATGTTAAACACTTCCTCTCAGAGACAATCCTGAACATGTTTACGTACGCCTCTCACACGGGGACAGACTACGCAGCCAAACTATGAAAACTTTAAAGCCCGTCGTGTCACTGATACCCATGCCATTTTCACATAAATTGTTGATAGAAGTATACCGTCGTGAAAACATTGAAGTATGCACCATGCAGCTACGTGATTGCCCTGATTTGCCTCAACGGTTGACTTTTTTGTTAACTTTATTCTACGAAATTGGTGTCCCTTGGTTCGCTGCCTTGTTTTTTAAACCAATAAACCAAATTCCTTGACAAATATCTGCTGAGTTTGATTGAAGCAACGGATTCTCGTCAAAAAACTTGTAATCCGTAAGGATTTTGCCTCGTCGCATTCCTTCCAACAAAATCACTCCCGACCAGCATGGCTCTTTTCAACCGATGAGGGGGTGCTTCTCATTGGGGCGGATACTCTGTGCTTATGGATTGGACAACATGTAATGAGAACTTTACCGCAGTCGAGCTCGTCGTACAAATTGAGACAATCCTCTTTGGCATTGCAGATAGCCGATCCGGGCACACACGTGCCAATAAAGTCACCGCAGTGCATCTCCTCCCGACTGCATCGTCCTACACGTCATTCAAAATAAAGGTCAAAAGTGTTAACCAAATGAAACCAATCGGCAGAGAGACATGTACTCCGCTTTCCTACGTAGATGACTTATATCATTTAGCCAGAAAAAGCTATCTATTTTGAAACATTAGACAACACTGCAAATCTATGTAAGGAATGGACAGTTTGTATTGGAGCGCGAAACAGTGACGTCAGGTCAAAATGTTCGTGCTAGGAGTTCACAAAAGTTCAACACATCACAGATAAAGGAGAAATTCGAATTCCCTTCGCATTTACATTTGCCCTAAGGCGTAAACTCACCTTCGAAGAAGTTTTGATTTCTGTCCTGGCTACAAGAAGAATCTCTAAAATGTTTTTCGTCACTTTTCTCCCGTTTTCGTGGGACGTTGTCAGTTGGTGTGACTATTAAAGTCACAGTCCTTTGCAATATGAACCGACCAAACTTGATGAAAGGAGTCCACTATCACATCCCAAGAACTTCAATTTCTTATTATGAAGTCAGTGGCGCCAAAACCCGATACAAAACATGACTGTCAACCATAATGTTTTTTTGGGGGGCCTCAAACACGCGATGGGGAACTGTGTCTTACCGCATCCAAATTCGTCCGACTTGTCAGCGCAGTCCGGCAATCCATCGCAGGCTTTGGCGCGGCTGATGCATTCGATTCCGGACCGACAGAGGAACTCGGCGCTCCCGTTGCACGGCACTGTGATGAAGAGCAAACAACAGCTGCGACAAGTGGACATCAGATCAATTACGACAATAGGTCGGCAGACCGGTAATAATGCCAAATTTATTAATCGGTGTTCATTTGCCCTTTGACGATAGAATCGTTCACATGCACCAAGCCAGGATTTTTGTCTGTCTTTGCAAGATACGGTTGCTGCCCAGTTTTGATTCAGTTACATACTTACACAATTTTGTCAATACTTGATAAGCCATTATTTTCATCGTCGAGGTTTTCTATTCAAAGTCCATTTCACTAAATTCCGAGTTATGCTTTTCGGCACCCCTCGTTTGTTTTCAAAATCTCCAGCCTGTTTCATTCCGCCATTCAGCGACCCTTATGCCCAGTACTTTGCTGTGATCTAGAGTATTACCTAGAATATCTAGATCCTTGCGAGGGTAGGGACTGTAGATAGAGCCACTACAGATCCCTCTTATTGGACGCCATCTTTGTAAGAAAATTGCAACTGCGTATACAATGCCAACAGGTACGTGCGCACAGTTTGCAAAATGTTCGAAACTCGCGGTTTTCTGTGCACAGCTACGTATGCCATAAGTGGACAAAATGTAACATGTTTGTCACTTTGGTTCACTTTTTGTTTCTTGCTCACAAAGCGCACCGCATTTGTGCACATGTAATCGAAAACTGGTCGCCAGGACCTGTGGCACCCTAACTTGCTACAGGCGTCCACAGCGCTCAGAATGCACGATTTACCCTTCCCTGGCCCTCGCGACAACGAGCCATCCACCGAGCAACCGTGCTCGCAGTTTAATTCTCACTCGGCGCTCGCGCAACGTACCTGGATCAACCGCCGTCAGGTTCAGCTGGAGCATCGTCTGGCCGTCGGCCCGAAGCCGTATCCACGCCCGAGACGCGTTCAAAGCTCGACTGGCCTCCCTTATCTTTCCGTACGTCGCCACCACAGTCCCGGCCCCGCCGCCGTCGAGCACTCCGACCTCCAACTCGACGTTGGCCCTGGCTATGTACGGATCAAATCGATTGAAGTCGACTTTGATGATCTGGCCTGGCTTCGCGTACAGCCACCAGGTGCAGTTTGTGCCTTGGGTGCCTGCTGACTCGCTGACCCACGGTGACCCTTGATCGTCCAGGGGAAACTCTACAACATACCACTGCGTTTCATTGAGGTGCACCGAAAACGATCCACAGCCATATAAACCTACGAAGTATAAAATATGATAAATTGTCATCGCTTTCTAATCATGGTTACCATTTGACACGACACAGTCAGTACACACGGTTTAAGTATTCGGAATTGTCGCAAGTTGTCGTTTCATGGTGATGATTGCGAGAACGCTACGTTTCTTTACACGTAGAACGTCTTCCACACCTCCAGGGGCGGGGACCCAGGAATCTGCTGGGGGAGGATCCAGGGAATTTACTGTTCGCACAAGGGGGAGGTATGTTATCGCCATTGGTACAAATAAGGCCCCTACGTGTTTGTGGTTTCAAGGGCTCTTCCAAACTTTGGACGTACCCCCCCACACATACACACAGATGACAATTATGGGGGGGGTCATCCCAGCCCCATCCCCACCCAAGCCCCAGCCCCGAACCCGCGCCTGACCTCGCTCTAGAGATTCAATTCAGTTGGTGGCGTTTATTTTTTCTATCTTCCTGCCCGTCTAATTTTGAAAAAAAATACCTAAATTGATAAATTTAAGCACTGTATAAACTTGTTCAGCTCAAGTAAGAAAATCCAAAGGCAACCACCTGTGGAGTTATAGCTCCGAAGGTTGTCACACTGGACCTCCTCGGCAAAGCAGATCGCATATAGTGAAGCGGAACACAGGAATTCGTCAGACTTGCACGGATATGAAAAGAATCCAATACTGGCGATTCACAATAGTGCACCTGCAAGAGTTTGCAACTCATTGGCCAATCACAACGCGCCAAATCTGTCGACCCTTCGACAGATTTCGTGTATCGTGATTGGCCAACACAATGCAAACTCTTGGGGGCGCACTATTGTGAATCGCTCGTATTGTAGACGAATGAGCACCGGTATACTTGGAGAGTCGACATATTAAAACATTAATTTACACCTTGTGAAATTTTTAGTCATTAATGTCATTATTAATGCTAAAAATGGCAGATTTTATTTACTCACTGTCTTGATTGTCGATTACTTCTACCGACAACTGAAACTCAACGCCTGTTGTCTTGTCACTGCCCTGACCAATCAAAACAGCGACGCTGGATCGGAAAGACATTATAGTATTCGGCACGGTGTCGGTGTCGAGAACCGGGAACAGGGTATCGAATAGTTCGGGCTGCAGGACGACGACGTGAAACCGGTCAACGGGACGCGTAAACGTCACCTCGATCCTCAGTCCCCAGGGGCCGGTGATAAACCAGCAGGCTGTGTCGCCTGGGATGTAAACTTCCCAGTGACGCAGCAAACCGAATACTTGTCCAGTTTCGGAAATGGTGGTATCGTTTTCTAAGGCAACAGCTCTGCACGCGTTGAACTGACTCTCCACCCCTGCGGAATTCGAAAAGACAACTGTCGTATTATCGACCCCAAGCGGGACCGAGCACTCTTCCTAGCAACGGAGTCCCTTTTAGCAGGAACTGAGCTTTGCAGGTTCACACAAATGACTAACGATTTGAAATGCACGACTTACGGTTGCATCGCTGCCAACCAACACTCCAGTCGATCAATCAACCTATATTTCCATAATGACAATACGTTTCCAATATGATGCAACATGCATGTAGATATCATTATACACACCGACAGGTTGGGCTGTAGAGTTAACAATAAATCCGTCGGCGACTTTGCTCTTTTCAACCGATGAGGGGGTGTTTCTCTTCAAGACGGATAGAAAGTGATAACCTAAGATTCTTATTCTGGCTTTATTTTGATTTAAGGCTCCACGCAGTGCGTCTCTTAACTGCAACCCTTGGCAATGCCGGGCGCTTTCATCAGATACGAAGAACCATCAGTAGTGATCTGTGAGCTGATTTACAAAGAAATGCATATGCCGAAGCAAACAGGAAAAGGAAAAGCAAACAGACAAACAAACAAACAATCAGACCAACATAGCCCCAAGCAGATGCTACAACAAGACAGGAAAACTCCAACAACGGTACATTAGCAAAGATAGAGCCAGTTTATGAAGCGACAAGCAGCACTTACTGTACTGCAGCACGCTGTTTGTTTGGTAAGCCAATCAATGATTAAATTTTGAACAAATGAAGCGTACGTCCGATTGCGGCAACCTGACAGAATTGTTTGTTAGCGTATCTATGGTAAAACGTCCTAATTGTGTTTCGGTTCAGCATCGTGTACAATAGTGAGGTTACATTATGTCTTTAATCAGCCGAACTTTTGACAGAAAAAGCAATTAAGTCACGAGCGGAAGTTCAGGGAATTGAACGGCGCGCGGTGAACATGATTGATTCTGCCGAAAGATCGCAGCTTGATTAAATTGTACTGACAGTAGAAGAAGGGGGGT